GTGTGGGTGTGGGTGTGGGTGTGTGTGTGTGTGTGTGTATTGTTACATGGCAGATGATATGTACATAACTGATACTTCAAACAAATAGTTGTTTACTAATTTACTTCTAGTTCATGTAGAAGTAGAAGTATTTCAACTGAATGACTACTTATCAGCAGGCTGGCCTATGTAGGCAGTGAAAACAACAGGCAACTGGTACACGGACATGTGTAGTCTGTAGCAGAAGGGAGTGAGGGCATATGTTTAACGCAGGAGGCGCCTGGTTGGGACCGGTTGGTCTCGACTGGACCTCGACTCTGGTGTGGGCAGGCAAGAACCTTTCTACACAATGATGTACAGTTGGTACACATATATTATAATGATGAAAATAAAATCAACAAAACTCTAGAAAATAAAAAATAAAATAAAAACCAAGAGGCGTTGAACAACAAAATAAATAATAAATAAAATAAAATTGTGTACACGACTCTCACTCTTATGTATGTATTTACTACTTTCTCTACGAGATAGAGAGACGGCTAGAGAGAGCGAGCGAGCGAGAGCGCGCGGGATAGAGAGATGGAGAGAGAAAGAGAGAGGAAGAGAGAGAGCGAGAGAGCGAGAGCGAGAGTGGGAATGAGAGAGAGTAAATAGGACTAAATATTTAAGACGACAGAGAGATCACGTTCTCACTCTAGAAACCAGTCCCCCTCGCCCAGACGCTCACCCTCTATCATCACAGTTAATTCACTCGTTAATTGTAAGCATCGATGTATTGCAGTGCTTAAATTTATATGTTTACATATATGTGTAACTTTCGTGTCATTCGTTGAAATCGAAAAGTGATCAGTGGAACTGATCACAAACACCAATATGGCGTCTGGCCAGACTATGACTGCGAGCACTTTGTTTGTAGGGCCGGCGGTATGTGTCAACGGTCCCTCCTCTACGGACGACAGGACTCAGAAAAACGCTCTTACAGCTAGTGCCATATTCTCATCTTTTCCACAAACTCGAACTATCAAGATGAAGGCTAGTGGCTTGTCCACTTCGACCTCTCAGAGTGGTGTTGAGGCAAACGATAGCCTCAAATCGGCAGCAGTTCCGCACAAGTTGCACCCTGCCTTTCCTACAAATGGTCCACCTTCTTTTGCATCTACGTCTGTTCCGCAGTCAGAGGCTAGTGGATTTTTCTCATCGGTATCTCACAACAATGTAGCCTCTAACAGCGTGCAATCGACTAATATGGCCCTATTAAGGTCACCTAGTGAGGCGAGTACAACTGCGCAGCCCAACAATCAAACGAACATGGGGCCACACATGTCATCGCACCCTTCATCGCACCCTGCCTTGCCAACTGACCCGCCTGCTATTGCAACGGATGCTAGTAGCTTGTTCACTCCGGCTTCTCAAAACAATATGGGAGCGGATAGCCTGCTGTCCGTACACATGGCCCCTACACAACAACCCAATGCAGTGGAAGATTCCCACCAGGCGTTCGCCTTGGGCACACCACAGATGGCATATGCTTCGCCAGTAGGTACCCTCCCCCAACTCGCAGCTGCGGATGTGTATCCAGGGAATGGCCCACCTGCTATTGCAACTGCGTCTGTTCCAGTAACGGAGGCTCGTGGCATAGTCGCTCCAATATTTCCAAACAATATTGCAGCGGATAGCCTGCAGGCCCCCAATATGGCCCCAGCACATCCACCGAGTGCAGCGGATGATTCCTACAAGGCGAGCGCCTTGGGAATCCCACATATGCCGTTTATTTCGCCAGGAGAGGTCCCCCCACGACTCCCGGCTGCGGGGGTGTATCCAGGGAATGGCTCACCTGCTTTTGCCACTGCCTCTGTTCCAGTGACGGCTCAAAGCAAATTCGAACCAACATTTCCAAATAATATGGCAGCGGATAGTCTGCTGTCGACGAACAAAGCCCCAGCTCATCCACCCAGTGCAGCTGATGATTCCTACCAGGCGATTGCCCTGGGAACACCACAAACGGCGTTTGCATCGCCAGCATGTGCGCCACCGCAATTAGCCGCGAGTATGTATCCAGGAACTGGTCCACCTCCATTTGTAGCTGCAGGGGTGAACCCGGGTGGCGGCCCATCTGCCGTTCCATTTGCGGCTGTTCCAGGACCCAATGCTACTTCGTTCATATCCACCGGGCCAGACTTTGTGCCCACGGTATGTAGATACGATATTTCGCCCTCCAGGTCTGGTGTTATCTTCTATCGGTTGGTTTCGATATGTCGTATCTACTTTCGCTCGATCAGCTCAAGTGCAGCAATATATGCAGGCCCGAATCCTGACTTTCTGTTATTATTGAATACTTATACCACAGAAAAAACAAGATTCACCACTAAGGAACAGGCCGCCGATGCCTTTTGTCTCATTTGGATTTGCCGGAAAAGTTATCCATGTGTCTCATACTGTCGACCAATACGGCAAACCGAGGTGAGCAGCGATGCAATCTGTGGATCTTGGATGAGTTTATATTTTGTTGGTAACGTGGTCAGTTGGATTCGAAGTTCGCACACCCACTTTTCAATCTAAACAAATTCATTTGAAACTAAACACAATTCGGGTTTACTTCCGACAGCCCCAAGGTGGTCGTCAATAATTTGACGAAGATGCTCAAAGGTTCACCGTACCTTAAGCAGTTCGAAACACACCCCGGGCCGCTGAATAAATGCAGTCTTGACTCTGTTAAGGATATGATTAACCAGCGTATCGACGATGACGAGGAAGACCGCGATTTGTGGGCCTACTGCGAGGTTGCCACTCACCAGGGCGGGTTCATCAGGTGCGTGTGTGTCCTTCGTGGTGTGTTTTATATGCAATCATGAGTTTATCAAGAATCCTAACCCATTTGTACGCGAACGACTTTTCCTCTCGCCTTGATACAGGAGTCAAAATCTTGGGGATAAAAATATCTCCAAGTACCTGAACTTATTGCCAGATAATGTTGACGATGGCTCTACCGACCAAACAGTGCCTAACAATGCCAATATGCCCTGCGTTGATTATCAGGTCTGTAAAATGCTGTTGACAAGGATTATGAGCATTTCGCACAGTTTTACATACTATTTATGGACGTGTAAAGATTTCCAGATACCAGATAGTTATGCACGTCTTGTGGTGACCTTTTAGGCCCCGCACATAGAGAGAACTTTTACTCTGGTGGATGAAACCCCTTATTTGATATCACGAGCGGACAGCGCAGCTAAATACATTGCTGCATATATTCACAGATTGAAGAGTGCCTTCTCAAAAGTAATGTGGTCGAGGCTGTCGCAATTGCAGTGCAAAATCGACAATGGATGCACGCACTGGTCTTGTCCTCACGAATGAGCAAGGATATGTTTTTCAAGGTAATGCCGGTTTGTGACATTAATGAACCCCACCTAGTGTCGTTAGTTGTCCAGTAAATAGATTATTGCACTATACTATATCAGCTAAGCTTTCATTAATATAAGCCCCCTTTTATCTTTAATGCACAAATCTCCAGACGCTCGGCGACTATGCAACCGCAGAGATGATCCCGACCACCGCACTGTGCTCTCTCTACAACATGTACAGCCAGAAGCCCCTTGCATTTCTAGAGACAGGCAATTTGGACAACTGGGGTTTGCATGTGCGCATGCTCATGACTAACTCGATTGGCCCGGAGGCGAATGTCCCGGTAGGCTTAATTGGGGATGCCTTAAGACAAGATGGACGAGTGTGTGACGCCCAGTTCTGGTAAGCAGAGGCACGCCGGTTCTCTCACTTTATAATCCCAGTATTTTGATCCACTTCATTTCTGCATTTGTACTAACGTGATATAAATACACAGCTACTTGTTGGCTGGTGTACCTTTGCAGCCCCTGCAGTATAGTAAGCGAATGGCGTTACTGGGAGGAGACCCTACGGTAAACTTGCGTAGTTTCATAAGCGTGCGGCATATCCAGCTGTCAGAAACATATGAATACATCTGCACACTGACAAACTCGCAGTTCGCGTTACGGGACTTGGCTTGGTTCAAATATATTTACGTGAACTGGTTGATTGAGGTGGGACTCATGGATCAAGCTTTAGAGTAAGTATATATATGGATCATGCATATCAATGTGAGCGTAAAATGAAGCTATTTTTTTCTTCCGTGCGGATCACTACTGGAAGCAATTAACAATTTCATCATTTCTCATCTGTCCATCGACTACAGATATTGCAATTCAATGCTTGAAAACGCGAGGAATAGTGTGTACCCTAAACAGTTCACTATGCTGTTGCAGGAAATGCACGATCGGATCAAGGTATATGATCCTACTCTAGGATCGTATACTGCTACCAGAGCACTCGGGAAGTTGATTGGCGGTGTGGGTTCAGCGCTTGCATCATTTATCAAGAAAGCCCCATCGGCCGAGTCACGTAAACATGCGCGGAGCAAGTCGTTGCGTCTTTCCAGACGCGGCAGCGATGCGTCAGGTGCAAGCCATAAAGCGGCTCCTAATCGCGGCCCACGTACCCGCAATCTCAGTCAAGGAAGCGGGGGTAGCGTGCTCAATGGCGGCCCACAGACACAAGCACAAACACAATTTCAACCACATGCACAAACGCAATATCAACCATCTTCTCAAACGCATTACCCTCTGTCGCAGTATCAACCACAATCACAGTCACAATATCAACCACAGCCACAGTATGAACAACAGACACAGTCACAGTATGAACAACAGCCACGGTCACAGTATGAAAAGCAGCCACAAATGCAGTATCAACAACAGCCACAGTCACAGTATCAACAACAGCCACAGTCACAGCATCAGCAACAGCCACAGTCACAGTATCAGCCACAGCCACAGTATCAGCAAAAGCCACAGTCACAGTATCAACCACAATCACAGTATCAACCGCAATCACAGCTGCAGTATTCACTAGCACAGTCGCAATCTCAAGCACAGGCACAATCGCAGGACACACAGGCACACCCGCAGAACTCGGAGACACAATCGCAATTTTCACCACAAGCACAGGCACAATATCAACCAGTTGCACAGCTGTTCTTTCAACAACATGCGCAACCACAAGGTAAATCACAGCCGCAGTCGCAAGGTCTACTAAGTGCTCAGCTACTATTCCAGCAACATGCACAACCGCAAACGCAAGCACCGCCAGATGCGCAGCCCAAAGATTCACTTCAAATGCAGTCACAAGATCTACCCACTACGCAGCTTCTATTCCAGCAATCTGCACAGATGCGGGAGGAGCCTCCTCCAACGAAGTCACAAGACCTGCCTCAAACTCCGAACACGCAAATGCTATTCCAAGCACCTGTACAACAAGAAAAACATCAAGCGCGTGCAGAAAATGCACCCCAGATCCAACCGGAGCCCCCGGGTGAGGACTTGGCGGTTGAGACGAACTCCGAGCAGTGTGGCGATGCGCCTGTGTTTGATGTGTCAACACGAAATATGACAACATATGCGAAACACTTTGGGCATACAACGCCGCGGGACTCGCCAGCTTATTCGTTTGCACCAGAACCATGGTTGCAATACGATGACTCCGACGGCTACGACTATTGTGGACTTGGGAGTGAGACACCGGAACCGGAGAGGTCTTCGAGGCACAGGAGTGCATCCGTGGATGAGGAGTATAAGTTCTCACTGGATGATTTCCTTGACCCCAAATTGAAAGATACTTTCTCCAAATTGGAAGAGCTCTGCCAGGAAACTTTGAAGAACAAACGTCATGTACCTGCATGTATGGGAACCAGTGTACAAAGGTACGGTTTGTCTAGGGCTCGATGTATGTGCTCGCTGGTGCTGTATCACAAATTTTTAATGTCCAATCGCTCATTTTTCTTGTTTTCAGATATCAGTCATAACTTGCAGTTACTTTTACCTATGCAGGCACGACAGTCGTGGAAGTCTTGCGAGTCTGGGAAGCCTGGGGAATCTGATAAACCTGATGCCGCGTAAGGGTAGCAAAAGTAGTCCTCAGATTGGCATGAAGGACCCGAACACGCCAAGGCAGCCGGTGCCCTCATTCAATGTGGAAACGGCCTCCCCCTTACCGTCCACACCAGCCCAAGAGATCAAGCCCTGGTCCAATTTGTTGCCGTCCACACCAGGCCAGGAGACTAAATTCTGGTCCAATATGGTTAGTCCTTTACACTCCACACCAGCCCAGAACACCAAGCCTTGGTCCAATTTGCTGCCGTCCACACCATGCCAGGAGACTAAACTCTGGTCCAATGTGGCTAGTCCTTTACACTCCACACCAGCCCAGAAAACCAAGCCTTGGTCCAATGTGGAGCCGGACAGTCTTTCGCCCTCCACCCCAGTGTCTAGACACGCCTCTAAGCCCGAGCAAGCGAAGGAGCCGGAGCACCTATCTTCCAATACGGCGCTTCAAAACGCCGAAAAGTCGGAAGAACCGCCACCGCCTAAAAGTATGTGCCTGTGTACATCATTGTCTGTTTTCTCTTTATATGTGAAGCGCACATCCAAACTAAATATCGACTAATTCTGCGTCTCAATATAAAGAAGTGGGATGGTTCACAACCCTGTGGAAGCGCGTACCAAAGCTGCCTGCGCGTGGTCATACTGGTGAGGAATTAAGCATGTACTTCGACAAGGACAAGGACAAATGGATCAATCCGGTAAGTTGACATATGTAGTATATATAAATCTATAAATATATATATATATATATATATATATATATATATATATATATATATATATATATATATATATATATATATATATATATATATATATATATATATATATATATATATNTAT